TGAATTAGTCATTTCTTTGCTCAAAACCATCAAGTACAACAGCATCCAAGGTAAATACTTCAATAAATCAAGCCTGATAAATTAAATAGTTATAACTTCAAAAAATCTAAGATAAATAGGAAGAAGGAGAATATTTTTATAGGGTTTATTCAGGTTTCCTTGGCAAGAGCTCGAACTACAGTAGACATCCCAGCCAATGCATTCCCCTGCAACCTGACACTCTTGGCTGAGAGACATCACAAACACAGACGAGTGACCGCGTGACGGTAACTGCTCTGAACAGCTACAACTGCGTGCTGATGGCCCCTCTGAAGTGGTTCACAGGCAGAGCTTGTGTACAGGGTGCTGTTAGCAGGTAGCAGGAGAAGCCCAGCTGGAAGATAGAGCAGGAGGAACCTCTACATCAGAAAAGTTGGCTTGTATGCAAGGGAGAAATGCAGATGCCCTGCTGTTCTGCTGGACTTCCAAAAGGGGAAAGTGTGTACCAGCCTGAGTAACAAAGAATTTTTAGCCAATTATATCATTTTATGGCAGCATTTAAGTGAAAAAATGCAACATGCACTAATCATATCTACAGCCAAGTAATAAAGGCATGTCGTAGAAAGTCAGTTGTTAACTCTCCTTGCTTTCTGGTACTGGTTGCCTATTGTAAATCTGAAGCATACAATCTGTAAGGCTACTTCATGATTCCCAAATGATCAAGGCAGCTTCCTTATAGAGGACTGGTATGCAGGGCTAGCAGCACACATACTAAATCTGTGGGCAGCGACAGCTCTATGGAAGATGGAAAGCAATATTATGAAGAAAGGAGTAAATTTTCCAACTGCGATTACACTGAAGTAAAGGAAGAACCCCAGTGTTGGGGTTCAGCACCAGAAAAGACAGATTTGGAAATGGAAGGTGTTTTCCTCTCATACAGTCTGTCCAAAGTGGGGATTTTCTGGCAGTAAGTGCATCATCTTCCTCCTCTGCTACAGAGCATGTCTGATGACGTTAGGCAGACTCTGGAGGGCAGCTGTTATGAAGCAGAGCTCAAGAAACTGTGTTGCCTCAAGGCCCTGAAGCAGCCTTTTTACTTTTATGTCTTGGCTAATGAATAGACTGCCCTTTGGCATCTCTTACATAAGCCAAGAGCTTTTCAAGTCCAATGCATTTCACATTCTCTAGAAAAACAAATTTTCTGACCCAATTGGATAATGCGTAAGCAATTCCCTGGGTTGTAGCCTTCTCTGAGTTTCCCCAGTGTGTGCTTTTGCTGCACAGAGCATATCATGAGCTTAGGGGAAGCAATTCCAGTGACAAACTGCTATTGTAGCATCGCTTAGAAGTGTCCAGTAATGCTGATATGACCACTCCATTCTTCTGAACCAAGACTCTGTCCCTTACCAACTAAAATTAGTGGGATTCTTTCCAGTGGTTTTGCTGTGCAATATTTTAGTTTTAAATAAGAGAAGAAAACATGAATAGATTACATTCAATATATATTTTTTGTCCTTCTGAACCAGAGATACTGATGCTCACAATACCGTCTCCCAGGGGGAGAACAGAGGTTATATACATAAAAATGTGCATTTGGCACAATAATGTGCCTTGAAACTGTTCAGTCTTTGGATTCGGCTGCCCTATAGGTAGAGAATAGCACAGGATAGGTCTGTGGTGAACTCTCAGTATTAACTTTCACATTCTGCTTCCCTAAGAGAAAGGATACAATAATCAGTTCTGTTTTACCTGGAGCCCATGGTAACATTGGCCCCTAGCCAACAGAGATCTAAGAATTTGCCTTCCTGCTAATTTGGCTCAGTGATAAGACCCCTGCCAGCAGTAGGGAAACTGTATGTGGTGAGCCTTGATTCCTTGGCAAACAGGCACAGAATATGAACAGCAAGTGGGAAATTCCTACTGACCTGGTTATAGTGTTTTTCAGAGTTTCACACCTGTTTCTCTTTCAAATCCTGTCTTCCTTTGTGTTGGATTTTTGCGTGTTTGTGTGTGCAAAAGATCAAAGCAAGGAGTAACAGGAATTTGCCCTTAGAAGTGGTTCTCGTTACATCAAGATTCAGTCCAGCAGATTAAAAATCAGCATTTAGTTAAGAAAGAGAGAAGGAAAGAAGAAAAAGAAATAAACCATCATCAAAATACAATCTCTGCCATCTCATGGATTTTTTTTTTTTATAGGGCCTATTACATGAACATCATTGGAGGACACATAAGTACCTGTTACTATCTCAGAGTTAAGCAACAGGGAAGTGTAATTAAACATGCTATTCTGGTGGGCTTGAAACCTACTTGCAATCAAGCAAACCATTGGGCTTTTCAGCAGGTTTGGCACTCTCCCCTCAGAAGAGGCCCAGAGCTGGGACAGCGGCCACGTCTCACTACCCTGACTGAGATGCATTGATGGGAACGAGTGGGAGTTTGCACAGTCCAGCTGCACCAAGCCTTGCTCTGGCCAGGATTAATCTTTCACTTTTATGAGCACTGAATTTCACCAACATTTACCCCCAAATTAAAGAAAACTAACAAAATCATGTTACTAAAGCAAATGAACTTTTTTTTTTTTTTTTCTGTGTAAATGAAGCAAAGTCTTATTTAATCTTTGTTGCCTTGAATAAGGGGAATGTGGTATGACAGACCTTTCACAGCATCCTGGTTGTACCTGAATTTAACTTGTCAAGAGGAAAATGGAAATGATTCCACATCAGTTAGTGGTTTCTTTTACCCCCCATGTAACTGGGGCAGAATGGTCCAAATGTGATGTATCTTCACTGCAGTGCTGGCCTTAGAAGGTGTCATACAGAGGAGCACAGGGCAGAAGCTCCTCTGCTAATGCTAAGCCAGGGAGCTGGGAGCCACCACTGATGAGATGCAGCCCAACCATGCTGTTCCTGCACTCTCATCAGAATTAATTGGCCTGGCTGGGAGGGAGGACATATCTGCCTAGGCAGACTGCAAGGACAGAGCAGCTACAGTGCTTGGTACCTCACCGAATGAGTTCGGAGCCACACAGAATTGCTGTCAGAAAGTTGTGCTGACTTAAGGGTGAGGCAGATCACACTGTTTGTGAGATCAGTTTTCTCAAAGATGTGTGCACAGTGCACAGAAAGAAAAAACCCAAACCAAAACAAAATATTTTTCCTCCTATGCTTTTCCTTTTAGGTATAGTTTCAAGAGAAACAGGAGTCTGAGTATGACTGTTTGAAAGGCCACTCTCTGTGAAGTCAGCAAAACAGGTTAAACTGTATCAAAACAGTACCCTTTCTCATATATTTCCTATCTCATACTTCCAAAGCTGCAGCAGTTTGGCAGAACATGCACAGAATGGGAATAAGGAGTTTGAAAGCTATCTTTTAAATTTACACATCCATTTCAATTGTGTTAATGGAGTTGAAATCCAAGGTTCATGATCAAAACCAGAAATCTCTGGAGAAATGCAAGGTATGATTAAGATTTAAGTAGCTCAGAAAGTAGAAGATAATGTCTACTGTTATGTCCTTATCCATTCTGGAAATAAGTGAAAATAATCCAGAAGAAGGAAGACTGATTAAACTTCAGAGCAGCTTTTCCAGGCACTTCAGTTTCTCTGCATCCTTTCTGTTTTTGAATGCTGAGCTCTAAATTAGTCTGAGTCTAAATTAGAGACCAAAGCTCAAAAAGAAGCTTAGGAAGAAATTGAGAAGAAATTACAAGGACATGTTTGGTGGCTTTCTGGGCAGACTGTCACCAAGAAAAATCTTAGTGTTCCTTTCTTTCTTCAAAAGCAGTGAACCTGGATTTCTTTTCTGATACAAAGATGGTTCTTTTACTTTCAAATTGGCAGTCCTTATTAGTGTAGACTTTGTCATCTTTGTCATGAAAGAAAATCACACACTGCTCTAGCTGTCTGAATTGTTTTTTTTTCTCATGATGTTCAGGAGCATCCATCAGACCTTAATAATTGCAGTTCCGCATGAAAAAAAAAAAATCAAACATTTTTAAGAGAAGCAACACTAATGGGGAGAAATGTTAACAGGAGTACTGATTCATATAATTAATGAAGGCAGGCAGGAACTGTGGAGAGTGAAAGAGCTGTTGGAACATGCTTTTCCTGAGAGAACACCTAAATTAAGAGGCTGTCGGAGACATATGTTTCACAGTGTTGGCAACCCAGGTGTAACAAATTTCCAAGATGGCTATTAGTGAGTACTTACAGCTAAAAAAGCATTTCTAATTTCTTGCTGAATATGGAGACTTAAGTGTCAAGGGGAACAGGGAACTGTGAGCAGAAGTGAAGGTCACTGGGGATGCATGTGCAAAATGATGCCCTTTAGCAGGGAAAATGTTGATGACTTCCACACGTGATGGTCTTCAAATCAACTGTTTTGATTAATGAAAAAGAACCTCAAATGAAGGGAGTGGAAAGATCAACTCCTACATTCCTAGTGCAGAAATTTTCGCTTTCAATGTCATATTTTTTGTCTTGGACAAAGGATCTTTCATCTGGTTTGGCATGGTGATTCATATCTTTTTGTATTTGCTTTTCTTTCAGTGTATTTTACAATAACATTAGTTGCATTGGGGAAAACAAAACAAACAAAAAAAGCCCCACCAATTATTTTTATTTTCTGAGTGCTATACTGTTTTTCATTTATAGATCAGTTTCTTATGATGAGACAATCGGATTCTCTTTCCTGAATGTGATTGATGGATGCCTGAAAGCATTATATTTTGTTTCCCTGGGGCTGTTTTGCAGAACAGAGGCAGGAGCCAAGAATGACTTTCAAGACATTTTATCACCTGTATTACTCTGTTCCTTTAAAGTAGCGGCCAATAATCTGCAATGGTAAAACACTTAGGCACGTGATAGAAAGCAGACTAGATCTTTGTGCAATTTTGATATATTTCAAGTATCTTGCTATTATGTTAGTTTGTTTTACATTTCCTTCTCCTCTCTTCTCCTCTCTTCTCCTCTCTCTTTTTTTTTTTCTCTTTTTTTTTTTTTTTTTTTACCCCCATGTGGAAGGTCTCATTGAATTTTAAATGAGGGGTAAAGAGAACAGGTGCAGCTTTTGGTGTTAAACAAAACATTTTCTATGCTGCATCTCCAATCAGGATTCATAAGCCTGGATTAATGGGATTTATGTAACTCAAGCAGAATAGGGACTGCTAGGCAAAAACTTTATTCTTTGAATTTCACAAAAACTGGTGATACATGCACTATATGTTTAATTAAAAAATGCATCTGTCTGCAGCACTTTCTACACTTTTACTTGTTGTGTGCAATGTGTCTATTTTATTTCTATTTCTATTACAGAACATTACTGTCCAGGTTGTGATGTTATATGTGAAGAGTTTTTGCAGTGCTTAGCAAAGTTCTGAATTCCTAAGACTGGACTTTGGAGTGGTCAGGTGGCATTTCTGCAAAAGCTTTCCAACATCTCTTCCGGTGTTCATTGCCTCCTTTGAAAATCATGGTTCATTAGAACTCTAACACAACAGCTGTTTATGATCATTTGAATGATATGATTTATAGGCAATGAGTGTTAGAAACAGAAACATTCTGAACTCTTTGCAATGCTCAACAGATTTTGAACTGCCACAGTAAAACAGAGGTGCCAGGTAAAGGAGATTGTTTATGCATTTAATAACAATTGGTGCAACTCAAGAGACCACGCATCAAAAACAAACAAAAATGGTGTCATAACTTTAAAAGGTGAAATTCTGTTTGCCTGAATGAACCAAAAAGTGCTCAGGAAACTTTTAGCAGCTTGTGCTCATGCTGCCATTACTACTGTGTAATTTTTGTTGTTGTTGTTTAATATCAGAAGTCCCTTTGTGGTCAGGCATTCTCTTTAGTTACCATTAGCTGAACAATGAATAACAGGTGGCCAAAGGGCAATGGAAGCAGGAGCACAGGTAGGAACAAGGCATTTAAACAGCCTGAAGTATGGTGAGCGTTAGAATTCTGTAATCACTGAGAAAATGAATAAATGAACACCCTGGAGGCCTACCAAGGGCAGGCACATTCGGGGCGCATGCATTGCTGCAGCAGGCAGTGCAGAGGCCAGCCTGCCGCCATGCTGCGGGCGCCATTTTGTGTGGGGTGGGCAGTGCGCCCTGAGGGCGGGGTGCCAGCAGCTGCCTCAGAGCGCGCTGGGTGCTTCTAGAAACTTCCATGGAGAATTACTCAGATATTACAGGTAAGAACTGAGTTTCCGGCACTGCACAGAGAATGCCCTGTTGCTGGGCAAAGCAGTAGCTCAACAGGTGCAGCTGTTAATGAGGCAGGTGGGCTGAAGCAGAGAGCTGGTGTTTGGGCAGGGAGGCATTTTGCTGCACTCAGCTCGCAGTGCTGAGGGACCCACAGGGACCTGGGAGCTGTGCCTCAGGGAGCCCTGCACAGCCCTGCTGTGCTCTGATAGCCAACTCCTGCTTGGAGCTTTGGTTTTCTGTGGTACGGCACAAAGGGAAGCTGAAGAGGCAGCTCAGAGCAAGGTCTCTGAGGCAGGTGGCTGTAGGTGCACAGCTGCTCTGTGGGTGGCAGGGCTGATGGGCAGCACCTGGGCCTAGCCTCCCACCAAGTCCTGGTCAGGGAGCACCATCCCTCAGCAGAAGCTATATAGGGCAGTTTCTAGCAGGCAGCAGCCCTCATTCTCTCAGGTAGCTCCTCAGGAGAAGGCTGAGGTGCTTAGGTGAGTATTTTCTGTTAATGTTTCTTACAGCTATGATTAGCCAGTGTTGCATCTAAATGGTAGCAGTAATGTTTGTGTAAGCGTGGTTCCTGTTTTGCTATCCCAGGCTCTTTGTTTTTATTCCTTTATAGCATGAAGCTCTGTGCATGCTCCTAGGCTGGGATGTGAAGAAGAGGCTTGGACCTGCTAATGGTATGTGTAGGGAAATGTTTTAACGAATCATTGCTCTAATTGCAGCATCATGTGTTTCCTAAGAAGCATTTATCTTTTGTACGCACTGTTGGTATTGTGGGCTGTTTCTTTTGGTGGTAAACCCTGTGCTGGGCTAGGATGTTCTTACTATGGCTTCTGAGAGGTGAGCCAGTGCTTTGAGGAAGGAGAAATCTTAGTGCAGTTTCTGTTCTAGAAGGTATGTGATGTTGGCTGTCTAATGGTATATACAATTTGCCTTTCCTGGTACTAGGAAGGCTCTCTTTTCCTTATTGGTCTTGTATAAATGTGATCACTTCACTCTTTTTTAGTTGTGCTTCAGAGGTAAGGAAACACATAACTTGCATTTTATCAGCGCTCCCACATAAGCCAACTAGCAGCTGTTTTGGATAAGAAGAAAATAAGGGTGGAAATAAAGTAAATTTATTTTGTTTTTATTGAGTTAAAACTTATCTTTATGTTAAATTTTGTCTATGGTATTAGTAAAGTAAAGATTGAGAATGTGGTCTGACTGTTACTAACAAATGTAAAATAAGGTGAAGTTTTCTAATTGTTTGCTATGTTTCCAGGAATATTAATCTTGATTGACAGAAGAATGTCATAAAATGATTATTATACAACTTCAATAAATAAAAGCAATGCATTAATTACCAAAAATAGAAAATGAACTTTGATTTTGAGAATTGTGCAGGCATTTACAGTGTATAATCAAAACATGTGCTATGGGAACAAATGAAAAATGATGTACAAGATGTGTGTTATGCGAAATAAGTTATTTTGTAATGTCAAAGACAAAAACAGCTTGTTTGCGTAAAATTGGAGGCTCTACAATGTAGAGCTTGGAGAACATTTCTGTTCATAGGAATCTACATCTTGTAATTGACATTGGACCCAGTTTGGCAGTGATGACCTTAGAAGTCTGACTCAAATACAAAACAAAATAAATTTTCTTGCAATTTGGGAAAAGTTAAAGAAAAAGGGATGACTCTAGCACCAAGAAATGGATAGGTAACTGTTCTAAATAAAAAAGTTAATACAAATAAAAGAAGTCTAAATCAGGTATGCAACTTGAATGTACTCATCTGTTTGTGAGAGAGAAGAAGGGCTGTGTTAATTCCATAGCTATTGTATTGCCTTTCAATCAGGTACCATTTATAAACATAAGCATACAAAAGAAAATGTTTAGCCAGGAATTTGCACAAATGTATTCAAACACAGAAACATCCTAAAACAAATACTTATTACATATTTTGTGTTTTACTTGCTCTGAAGGAAAGCAGTAGAATCAGATTGGTTCAGAAGATCTTAAGTGCATGCTAGCAAGTATGTATGAATGCAAAGTACCCACATATTAACTGATATACTGTATTTGGTATTAAGTTGCTTGCTTCTTTATAGCTTTTCTGAAAGAGTTTCTGTAGCTCTATATCATTTTTCTGCCTTCTGTGCTTCATCAGGATAGCTTCTTGTGCACGGATGCATTTTTAACTTCTAAAAATTCATGAAATGGTTGTAGATAGAAGGAATACAGTAAGCTTGGGTGTTGTTTTTTACATGAAGTATCCATTAAATGAAAAATTCTCATGGCACAATCATGGTTGATTAGCTGCTTGATTAGTTGTCTTTTAAAGGAACGTTAATATAAACATCTGGAGAAAACAGGTGGTGCCTCTCCTGAATGCATCTGCAAGAAGTGGAAGGCAGCACTGAATGTGTGCACTGCTTGAATCCAGGGACTCTGCCCATTAGCATGTTCCTGCGGCTGGTTCCAGCCCCTGATTTAAAGGGTCTGTGTCCATTTCTGGTGATGTAACTGTTTAATATGCCTCTCATGTTCCTGGTGCCATGGTAAAAGCTCGAATGGTTGAAACCTGAAAGGCCTGTTCCTATAGACTTTCTTAAGTGATAGCAGATTAGATTCTAAACAATTTGAAGTAGACTCAGGGCTTAAAACATGGATGGAACAGCTCAGGGGAAATAAGAGATCCATGACTTTGTTCCCTTAGAGGAGATTGCTAAAATATTATGAAACTAAACATCATGGACATCTTTGTGAATATGCATTTACGGTAGACTTTGTGTGGATGCTGGTGATATGGGTGCAGATATAGGCTGCCACACCACTTTCTTTGTTAAGTAAATGTGCTAGTGTGTTTTCTTGAGGATTTTTTTTTAAGGTGAGAAGGATGGGGGACAGGCATCCAACTTTATAGCAAAGCTGTCCTTGTGAACATACAGCTAACTGTGGAACTTTAGGGCATATGTTTGTTTATTAATGCTGTAGTTTGTGTATAAAGAAAGGCCATCAAAAAGTTCATTTCTGGCCTTTAGCTCAAAATTCTGATCTTTAGTAAAGTTTGTCTCTGTGCCAAATATTTGCTCATAAAGATGTGTGGGTTTGTGGGCAGCTTAGATATTCTGAGATTATACTTGTGAAAAGAGGCAGGCTTGAATGCTTTGTTTATTAATAGGCAAAAGTGCTGTCTGAGAATTTTACAATAGAAGAGTAGTTGTAGACAGACAGCAAGGCACCACTGGGGGAGCTGAATGCTCGTTATATTTATAGATAAGCATAGAAGTGATGTGTGAAAGATTGCTTGAAGGGGTGAAGTTTTTTAGTATATGATATGAAATAGCAATCCTTGCTTCTGAGAGCAGTTGAGAATACAGCTTGAGAAATGGGATCCTGTCTTTAGCGAATGCTTAAAGATAACACATGAGAATTCTTTTTTTTTTAAAGACTTTTTTTTGGTAACAGCAGTTAGTTCAAGTGAGGACTTCCTTAATTAACACCTAGCTCTGCATGCCTCAAGAGTGATAAGGAACTTGTGAGCTCTTGAATAAAAGTTCATAGGAATGTTGTATAACCTAATAGCTGGGATTGATAATCACCACCAATGCTTAACCTAATTAATACTTTGATTTATCTTTGAATCCCTAGTGGCATATTCAGTAAGGAGCTGTCTTGCTACTTGGCTAGTTCAACCCACTATGTTATTTAGATTATACTTAAAAGTTGGATAATCAATATAATATCTGTTTTAACAGGGGTCATTTTCTGTGCTTGGGGAGCTCTGTCTTACCAAAGAGCAGTAATTTATTTTTTAAGAGGAAGCTTTATGAAGTATTAAATATGGGTTTGAGGCTTCAGACTTGAATTTGCATACTCTATTGAACCTGAAGTTTATGATTAATTCAACTTGAAAATTCAGCTTTTTCTGAATCTCGCACAACATGAAGTTGATAAATTAAAATAAAAACCAAAAAGAACATGCTATCTGTATTTTCTTTTCAGCTTTGCTTTTCATATGCATTTTCAGACATTTTTTTTGTTGGTAAACTTATTTCAGAAATATTTATCCTCCAGTGACATCTTAAAATATATGCTTTGAGAGTGTTGCATAATTACTCTTTTCCCAAATTAACATTCTGAATCCTATGCTAACTTTTTTTCAATAAATCTTTTTCAGATGGGTTTGAAGCTAGTTACCATATTGTCTTTGTTAGGAGGTTTTACAGCCTGTATGTAGAACTTAGAAATTCTCCCCTGAATTAGTAGTGCTAACTTTGTCACCTCTTGCTGCTTGTAAGGTTACTGAAATAGCTAGTGAGCTCTATGTGTTTGAGTGCTATTGGTGTTGCAGTGGTCTGTGCAATGCTTTTCTGTTTCAAATGGGATGATAGGGCAGAATTATGAGTTGGGCCACTTAGCAGTGTTCTGTGCCAGGTTCAGTCAGCACGGCTGATGCCAGTGCAGGCATGCCTGCTTGCACCTGGGGCTGCCCTTACATCTCAGCAATGAATGAAAGGTGCTCCAAGGTGAAAATCTTGTTCTGTGTACATTTGAAGAACTTCACAGCTCCTGCGGTGAGATAATATGCAACAAGCGCATGTGATGAATTCTGCATTGCAACCTGGGATCTAAAAAGCTTTCTTATATCTGATTTTGTTAATTTTCGTACATCTAAGTTTCAGAATGTTAAATAATTGCCTGCTTTTGCTTTGTCTTTGGCAGCAGGAAGTGTTTTGTCAAAGCAGTCATACCTAGAATCCCATGTTTGTTGACTACTTAATCTAAAAAAGCAAGCTACGCAGTGAACAAGGAATTGCATTAACCAAGTTCCAAATTCCACTTTGTGTGTCTGCTCACATTTTGTGCTTTTGTGTCTTTGACTCCTTTTGCTTTTCTCATCTTCTGCGCAGATCTCTCTTGTATGTTCCCACACTCTACCATTTGAGGGTTTCCATACAAAAAACAGGCAGGATATTAAATTGGATATTATGTATCAGGGAAAAAACATTTTGCAGAAGCAGTGATAAAAGAAGTACTACTAATTCATTTCAGTTTCCATTTTTAGAGTAGGTGTAACATCTCTGGAATGAGACTGAATAGGATATTTTCATCCTTACAACGAGAAGAAAGCAGAGCATCTTGCCATGCTTTCAGTGTCTGAGAAATTACCTGGGTGGAACAAAGCAAATAGTGGGTCTTCAGAGCTAGAAGAATGGTTTATTTATCTGCAAATGATGCTTGTTTGTCTGTAATCACTGCTCTATTTCTTGGATTTTTCAGTGGTGCCTGAGTTAGGAGTTAAAAGTGAGCATGTGATTTACATAATGAAAGTGTTCATCTAAAAGCTAGTTGAACAAACTACTGGCAAGTCTTCTGCCTTGTGCAGATTACTGTGGTAGTTGAAATTATTTTGGAAAATATTCCTCAATTTTTATTTTTATTTTTTTCCCCATCCTTTGCTATCATACCACTTGATTTCATTCTTTATCTGAAACTTTAAATGTGGAGTAGGTCCATGGCTGCCTGCAGGTAGCCCTGTGAGACATGTTTCCTTGCTGCTTCATGTCACTGATGGAAGCTTAGGTCACTCTTACAACAGCCTTCGATATTCTGACTTTTTAAAACTAGCAAATATAGAAACCAAGTTAATTTTGGCCAAGCTGCCCTCTCAGCCTTGAACTGTATTCAA